GCGGTTAGGGGGGAGGGAAAACCAAGTTATTTTTCTAAGCCTGAGGACAAAAATGAAATGTTCACATGTGGCTTCATTGGCGATCCCTGTGAAAGGGTCATTTGACCCCCAAAGGGTCAGGACCCACAGGTTGAGAACTGCTGCTTTAGGGGGACATGGTTGGTGGGTTCCCATAGCACACGTGAAGACAGGTTTCAATTAGTGATTCATTTCGTTGCCTCAAGGCACGCACCTCCAGGGAGGAAAGCGAATTTCCCAGTTGACTGTGCATGCGCACATCATTCCTCACAGCAATCACACAGAGTGGGTATTTTGCCCGCCTTCCTGAAGAAGAGACTGAGGCTCAGAGAGCTTAAGTGACTCTCCCTTGGCCACACACCTTATGAAGTCGGGAGAGGGACAGTGAGTGGTGTAGAGCCAGGCCTCTGGCCGCAGGCCCAGGTTCAAATCCCAGCTCTCCCATTCACCAGCTGCAAACCCGGGGACGTTCCTGCCCTCCTCTAATCTGGGCAGAGAGGTTGGAGAACGAGGTGGAGATTTGAGAATTAAATGAAACCATGTCAGCGGTCAGTGCTTTATTGGGCCATAGTGGGGCCTGTGGCAACAGGAACATGTGTGCTCCGACAGCTACTTATCAAAATATCCCTTCATATTTTGAACCCAAGTGGAAGAACTTAATGAAAAAACATGACTGCATATCAAACCCTGGTTAAACATCTGCTTGCATGCCATTGCCAGGCCCCACAAACTCACACGAGCCCAGGAAATCAGCAGCTGATTGGAAATGTCTGTTCCTGTTGTACAGTCACACGGGCCACAAAACAGACAACACCCTGCCTTTGCTTAAAAAGGTTGATGTTTTTGTTCATCACAGATTTTTGTGCACTAATTTTTATTTTTTAAAATACTGAATTAAACGATTACTCATCTTAACATTTGACCCAGTAATTCCACTCCCGGTTACACACCCGAGAGAAATGTTCACACACAGACTTGTACTCACACGGTCATAGCAACATCATTCGTAAAAGCCCAAAGGCAGAAAACAGCAAAAATATTTATCGGCTGGTGAGCGAACAGACAAGATGTGTTCGATCCAGACAATAGGACACCCGCTGGCCATAAAAAGCACACACTACTGGTATATGCTCCGACACCGATGAACCTTGAAATCATTATGCTACGTGAAAGGAGCAATCCCCGAAGACCACGTGTTGCACGTATTGTATGATTCCATTCATATGAAATGCCCAGGATCAGCAAATCCAGGGAGACAGAAGCGGACTAGTGGTTGCCAGGCACTGGGGGAGGAGGAGATGGGGAGTGACTACTAATGGGTACGGAGTTTCTTTCAAAAAAAGACAGGAGCTCAGTGTTGAATATCCCAGCCCTTCTGGGGATCGCACCCCGAGAAGCACAAACCAGCACCGCCTCAGTGGGCTCTGCGTGGACACGGGTGTCTCCATAGTTCCACTCATCCTTGTTTGCTTTCCAGAGAAAGGTGTGCCTGTGGCCTGCCTTCCTGGCCACGCTCAGGTTTATTTTTTCTTCTTTTTTCTTGGCCACACTCAGTTTTTACATCTGCAACATGGGGCCAGCAACACCGGCCCTGATGGTCTTTCAGGTTTTCAAGAGAACAAAATGAGGAAAATAATACGAACGTGATTTGGAACCCATCAAGTGCCACGGAAAGGCGAGCTCTTACCGACACCCATGTTTTGTTTTCTCGGGTGGCCCCAGTTTTTCTGCCTGTAAAATGAACAGGCTGAAGGGGCTGGTAACGCAGCACTGACCAGCAGAGGCAGGCAGACCCGCCGCGAGTCCCAGCACACCGCTACCTAGCTGGGTGACCTTGGGCTAATGGCTTTACGTCTCTGAGCCTGCGTTTCAAGTCACCGGTGAACTGACACAGAGAACATGATATCCCAGGGGGTTTTGGTGAGAATCCTATGGGCTGCTTTCCATGGAGGGCTCCCACCATGCTCCCTGGGAAGCACCCGCTAAAGAACATTCGCGATGCAGCTTGGTGCAGCGAGGCTCTCTGAAGATTTGTTCCAAGGCTCCCGTGGGAGAAAGCCTTCCCATAAACCTCTAGGAGCCAGGACACGACTGATCGGTTCCCAGGGAAAGGCTGTTCTGTGCCAGAGGTTGTTTTTCATGGCGATAATGGAATGATTAGAATCCTGGCATCCAGGAGACTTGTTCCTTGTTTGAGTTATGAGTTAGGAACAAGGGGAGTCAGGCAGCAGGAATGTGAGGCAAAGCCTGCCTGTGCCTTTGGAATTCACTGGCGCTCACGTGTGGATTTGGGCTGACGGAATTTCTACTCCGGCTCCAAGAACATCGTCTTCTGGGGTGTTCTATGAATAACGCACCGAGGGATACAGTCAGGCACGTTCATTTGCTTTCGAGCCGTGGTTCTCCAGCAGGGGGACTTACCCCCGAGGGGCCGTGTGGCAGTATCTGGAGTCGCTTTTTTGGTTGTCACCATTAGAGTGATGGTCCCCCTGGCGTCGAGGCCAGGGATGCTGCTACACATCTTAGGGTGCAAGGACAGCCCCCCGCCATACAGAATTACTCAGCCCCTAACTGTCTCTAGTGCCAAGATGGGAAACCCTGCTGGAGGGACAGTGACTTTCAGCCAAAAGGGTGGTCCAGCTTGGGCCCAGGTTTGAGGACTTAGAGACGGGGGGCGAGGGGGGGGCCTCCAGACTGTGGCTCTGTGCTCCGTGGGGTTGGAGAGTCCTTTGCCCCTTTCTCTTTCTTCTCTTCTTGGGAATCTTGGCTGACCCGGTGCAGCAGAGGCGGGCTTTGGGGCGCATCTCCTTGATTCCCACCACGTTGTATTCAGCCACCCGCTGCGGGGGACTCCTGCATCTGTCCCTCCACCTACCCATAAGCAACTCTCTGTCTCCCCAGTACGCAGAGCATGGCACAGTGCTGGGCATGGCACGGTGCTGGAGGAATGAATGGGTGAATGAATGAATGAATGAATGGGTGATGGTTGACTGCTGAGCTCCCAGCAAGGCCTCAGAGCTGGTGACTTGGCACCAACTCAGATAAGCCTTTACAGAGACTCCACGAGTCCTTCCCCATCGGGGGCCAAGCCAGGGTGTGCATCATCTTTTCCTGGAAACCAGCCCTTACTGAGGCCTCCCATTTCCATCAAGGAACCCCCCCCCCCCAAGTGCTGAGATGCAAGGCCTGGGAGTCCCCCTTTTCTTCTGGGGCCCTCTCTCCCCTGTGGCCAGCGGTGTCTTCCTCCTGACTGCCTCCTGTGCTCATCCTTTGCTTTCCCCAGCCCCACTCTCTAAGCCTGCCCCCCAGCAGACTCTCTGTCCTATGATCTACTCTGTCTACCAACTCATCTCGAGTTACAGCTCCGATCATGCTAC